TGCTGTGCTCCTCTGCCCCAACCCCACAGCAGATGTGGATCCTTCTGCTGTGGAATTCTGGAATTCTTTTTATTTTTTGAGAATAAAAAAAAAATCTTTTCCTGATGCTGAAGCTGTTCCTGCCTGGCTCGCTGGCGTCTCCATGGCTGAGGGAGGGGTGGCCAGGACAGGACAGGAGCTTTGGGACTTCCCAAACTGTGACAGGGAGGTGACAGCACCTGGACATGAGGTGCTGAGCCAGAAATCCTGGATCAGATCCTGGGGGATAAATCCTGCAGGATCAGAGAGCCCTGAGGATGCACAGGAGGGTTTGGGGTGCTCAGGGGGGTTTGGGATTGATTGTCAGAAGGGTTTGGGGTGGCTGGAAGGGTTTGGGATTGATTGTCAGAAGGATTTGGGGTGGCTGGAAGGGTTTGGTTTGGGATTGTCAGAAGGATTTGGGCTCAATGAGAGGCTGCTTGGAAGGGTTTAGAGGTGGTCAGAAGGATTTGGGGTGGTCAGGAGGGTTTGGGATTCTCAGAAGGGTTTGGGATTCATTGCCAGAAGGATTTGGGGTGGCTGGAAAGGTTTGGGATTCATTGCCAGAAGGATTTGGGGTGGTTGGAAGGGTTTGGTTTGGGCTTGGCAAAGGGGTTTGGGCTCAGTGAGGGGCTGGTTGAAGGTTTTAGGGGTGCTCAGAAGGGTTTGGGCTAATCAAAAACTCCATCAGTGCCAGGAGGTCACACTGGATAATTTATTAACCCTTTCTTACCCCCTTTTCAGTGCTGTCCAAGCCAGTTTGAGGCACCCAAATCCCCTGAAGGCACAGAGTGGCTGCTGTCCCTGCAGTGGGGAGTGCAGTCCATGGGTTTTGTTTGGGATCCATCCCAAAACACCTTCCCAGGCCCGGGAGGAGCCCTGGGGGAGCCTCTGCTGCCTCAGGCCCCAGCCAGGCACAGCGACAGCCCCAGCATGGTGAGCAGCATTCCTGCCACAGCCCCTGGGGAGGAACAAATCCAGGATCAGCAAACGGGGACAAACCGGGAATCAAAAAGCCCCAAACAATGACCTCCAGCTCCTGCAGTTTGAAATTCCCCAATTTCCTGCTTTTTCCTGAGCACCTGAGCAGGGCACGTTGACTTTTGGGCCACTCCTTTTCCATGGTGGGCATTTTACTGAGGGAAATTTAAATCCTTTTAGCTTTCAACAGACAATTCTGGCTTTAAATTCACCAGTCCTGCCCAAAAATCTATTTCAATTCCCTTTCCCTTTTCAATGGGATAAAAAATCCCATTGAAATGGGAATTTTCCATTCTCATTTCAATTCCCTGCAGCCAAAGCTGCTCTGACCCAGTTCAAGCCTTGTGGGGTGTTTGGTGTCTTCAGATTAGATTGTAAATTAAATTATACATTAAAATCAAATCTCCCACATGAAAAACCAAATCTCCCACATTATAAATTAAATCCCCCATGTTATAAATTAAATTATACATTAAAAATGAAACCCCTCACATTAAAAATCAAACCCCCCACATTAAAAATCAAATTCCCACATTACAAATCAAGTAATCCCAATGCAATAAAAGCTGATTTCTTGAGGAAATGCTGGAAGTGGGACTCACTTTTCCCCCCAATGTCCTCTCCCAGGATTTTCCCAGTCACCAAGGTCACAACCAAAGCCAGGGAGTTGCAGAGTGGCACTGCCAGCGACAGGTCTGAAATGCAAGATCCAAGTGGAGAAATTTGATTTATTTGGCATTATTCCAAGGGATCTTCTTGCTGTTTGGCTGAGCCACAAAATCCCATCAAAGCACCCCAAAAAAAGCAGCAGGATCTGACCTGTGGAGGCCAAGGTGAGGTAGAAGAGCAGAGATCCAGCCTGGTTGAGCAGGAAGGGCACCAGGTACTGCAGGAGAACACAGAGCTTCAGGGAATTGTGGATATTGGGGTTCAGCAAGGATACCAAGCTTTCAGCAAAGTTCACTTTGTCTCTTGGTGTCCTGGTTCTTGTCACTGTTATTTTATGATTCAGATAAAAAAATTCCACAAAGACATTAAATTAACAGAGCTATTTTACATTATTATCTGAGTTAATTCCACAAATGAAATATTTAACAGCACATAGTTTGTACTTTAATAGCATGAGAAGTTCTAAGCTATATTTATCACATTATTATTGATATAAACTACACGGTGCATACAAAAACAGATTTATATTATATTATATTATATTATATTATATTATATTATATTATATTATATTATATTATACTATATTATATTATATATAACTACATTAATTATATAATAATAATATATAAATACATATATATTATATTAATTAAATTCATTCATTATTATTATTTAATATTAATAAACTATATATAATATATATTATATAGAATATAATACATATTATATATATTTATATTATATATAAGCTATATATAATACAATATATTATGTATAATATATATAATACATATAATATATATTATATTACATTATTATGTTATTATATTATATTATATTATAGTATAGTATATTTATTGCATGTATTATATTTATTATATTTATTATACCAAAAAGCAGTTCAAAGGGATTACAAGCTGCACTATATCAGGATCCTTGTGATTACCAATAACTTGCAGAAGCCAACACACCAATGACAA